GCGAGACGCGGGAGCACTCATGCCCAGGAAGAAGAGGACGAGGAGGTGGAGGAGACTCAGGAAGAATTCCAGGAGCTCGAGAGACGGGCGAGTGCCGGCACAGCGACTGAGGCGGCACCTCTGCGTGTGGTGATCCGTCCTGTGGCCGAAGATGACGAAGATGACGCTGGAGAAGAGTACGAAGACGAGGATGATGACGATGAGAAACCACTCGACGAGGAAGAGCTTGAGGCAGCCGCGACGGCGCTGCAAACAGCCACACGCATCGTCGAAGAGCTGCGCCTTAAGATGCTGCTCAAGGCGGGTCAGCAGATGGAACGGCAGCGACAGGACAATAGTGAACCTCCTATCATAGTGGAGGATACCCCTTCATCAACCGGAGGACCCGGTGTGCCAGTGCCACATGCACAAGTGCGCTCCAACTCTACATGCAGCGGCTGTGGCAAGTCGTTTAACCCGTTCCATCGCAGTAAGAACTGTGCGGCGTGTGGGTTTGCGTTTTGTCCCAAATGTTCGTCCAAGAATTTCGTGCTACCGACCTGCTTTGGATATCGCGATGAGTCGGTACGTACGTGTGACCTATGTGCAAAGTGGTTCCAGAAAGCAATGGACCGCTACTTCGATGCTATGGAACTGGCAAAAGAACAAGAGCAAGAGTCTTCAATCCATCGTGGTAGCATGGGAGAAATCACGATAGAGGAGAAACCCCGCTCATTGTCCAGTTTCAACAGCGTTCCGGTGTCTACACCAAGCACGAACGATGGAATACTGTCAGTGATAACGCGACGCTCGTCTGTTTCGTCTCTTGATCCGGCTCCTAGCTGTCCCAGTGACGACGTGGCGGATGAAAGTGTCGAAAATGAAGACCAGATCACTCCATCAACCTCCACGTCCTCAACTTCTAGACGTCGGCATCGACGTTCATCGATAGCGTCAGCTCCGTCCCCGTCGATAAACAAGAACAAACCATGGTTCAGTGGCCACTTGCGCGCGATGCATGTGAATGATCGACTACCACGCAAGAAGAAGACAAGAGGAGAGAGCGAAGGTGGAGAGACTGAAAACAACAGCCCAGAGCTGCGATCGCGAAGGAGTCGATTGAGTAGTGTGGCGTCGTCTAAGAGTAGACACACCAATGAGGATGCAGACGAGAAACAGCACGAGAATTCAGCGGGAAGTAGTCCGATAGATATCCAAGACGGAGAAGATGCCTCAAAAAGCTCAGGTACTGGACGTGGGTCGTCATTGACGATATCTGTGAAGCCTGCCAATGACTCAGATGATTCCAACCGTCCTAGAAGGAAAACTCGACGCTCCAAGTTCTCCAGATCGGCTAGTTTTGATCTAGCGAACCTACAGTCAAGTGTATCACCTGACTCATCGCCAGAAATGAGGCGCTGCAATACGTTTGGCCCAGATGACGGGAGAAAACTTGCGTCGGACGTCGTAAGCAGTGGTGGTAGTGATCGCTCGAACAGCATGCTCTCACTAAAGGCGTTTGATGACAGCGATATCGTGGATGAGCGTGCACAGCTCGATTCAGCAGATGTGAAGATGAAAAGTGAAGCAAAACTAGCTGCAGCTGTGTTGCGCTTCGCTGTGTACGAGATGGGTGGGAAAGAAGGCGCTGGATTACGTCGTACGTTTGGATTTACTAAGGCGAACCCAGTGCTGGATCGGTATACGTTGGAGCTTGATTGTCGCCAGCGAATCGTACGAGCCAAGTCTGTGTTCATGCATCGCTTCTGGTCATTCCATTGTGACTCGGTCCAGTCATTCGTGTCTGGCTCCTCGGATGGAATGGCAAGGCTTGTTGTATTCAATGGCGGACAGGGCAATCAAACGCTAGAGCTAAAATTTGCAAATGATGACGAACGCGAGCAGTTCAGGCAGGCCATGGATAGCTGCCGATCAACCAACTTGGATAGGATGCGCAAATTTGCTTCACGGACTGCTATGTCACTTCCTGCGCGACCTGAACTTCCAGCATCTCCCGTACTGGAGAATTTCCGCTCACCGGTACCACTAGAGCCGAGTACTACCTACTCAGCAGACACATCCACGTCGATCGAGTCAGAATTGGGCCTCACTCATGATACTGGTTGCAGCATTTCTGCCGATTCTGCAGTCGTACAGTCGATTCACGTGCCGCTATTACCTGGGGAAGTGGTGGTGAAAGACACGGAGCTCCAAGCGACATTGCTCATCGGCCCCGTTAGTGAAACTTACGAGTCCACACTTGTATGGGGCAGAATTCGCGGCAAAATCGCCGTGACGAATTACAGAGTGATCTTCACGCCGTTCGAACGAGTGCAAGTGCAGGCGCGATGTGGTGGACAAGGTGGTATTGCGTACATCCCGCTGTTTGCTATTACACACGTTCAACTCCTTTATCCTGGTGGCCGCCGACCAAAATCTGGACGCACATATTACGCAGGAATGGCAGGGTCAGCGTCGATTATTTCAATCAACTGCAAAGACGTCCGCGTGATGAGATTCCAGCTGGACAGCCATGCTTCCGTTTCAGACGATCATGCCCATAAACTACGTGCAACAATTGCAAAACTGGCTGATGCATCGCAGCGGTACACCGTTGTCGAACGGGGAAGTCCAATGCGAACATCACCTGGACTTGGTCCACTGTCGAGCTCAGCTAGTGACAGTGACACATTACCAGATAGAGAGGGAGACAATTCCTTGCATGAAAGCAAGGAACCCTTTTTCCAGAACTCCTCACGGACCCCAGCGTATGCTGCATCACCAGTTCTACGTCCAGATCGGATGCTGACGCTTCCTCGCGAGATAAGCGGGTCTTTTGCGTTCTCGTATTCGATCAGCAATGTCCCTCCCGATCAAAATGGCTGGAATTTGTTCGTCGACGAGCGCGAGTTCAAGCGACAAATTGGCGGCGACCCTGCCGTTTCCCCATTCCTAAAGGTACGGTAATGCCTTCATCTATTCATTGGTGATAAATGCTCATTCTTGTTTCTGTTATTTGCCTTAGTATTATAAAAACGATCGGGGAAATATCTGTAAGTCGTATCCATCGAAGTTGCTCCTCCCAGCCTCGATGAATTCCGCGACGCTGGCTAAAGTGGCAGATTTCCGTGCGAAGAACCGACTGCCAGTGATCACGTACT